CACTTAGATTTTGAGATATATTTTATGTATGAAAATATTATACACACACACATATTATAAAAACAGGGTTCCCAAATATATAAATGTATAGGCAAATATGTGTATAATTTGTTATAAACATATGGTTGATTTGTATTTTAATTAAACCACGCATTGACAATGTGTCTATAGGAAGTTGCAATTTCAACCAAAGTTGTAATGTATAGGTAAAACAAAACACACAATAAACTGACGTCAAGGGACATACCTTAAAAAAGAAATGCAATACTATGTAATTGCAAAACAAGAAATGTTTAGACATAAAATTTGATATAGAACAAAATACAAAGACTGTATAGAGAAAGTGCCATTAACAACATGGTGGAATAGGAAGTCTCCTACTTTTCTATCTCCCCACAGCAACGAAAATATGGCAGCCATCCTTGGACAAAAGTAACTTTATGAAAGCCAGGCATAACAGCTCCAACATGTCACTCCAGCTACTCAGAGGCTGAGGTAACAGGGTCACTTCAGTCCAGCAGTTTCAGACCAGCCTGGGTGATATTATGAGACCCCCATCTCAAAATCTAAGTGCTTTTATAAAAGCTTTGAGATCCAGGAAGGAGCTTGTGAAACAATACTAAAGCCCAAGACCAAAGAGGGTCATTTTGAGAAGGCAGGCCCTCATTCAGGTGGTAAACTTCACAACTCCTGCTCTTGGATACAGACCAAGTGGCTCACTCCACTTGGTACCACTGAGAATTCTGAAATGACTCTATAAGCATCTTCAACTCCTCCTAGCCAAGGCCTAGGGATTATCTTCCCTATCCAGAAGGCTGCAGGGAAATGTCCATTTGTGTCCATGGAGGCAAGCCTACAGACCTTGGCACTCACTGTGGTCTCTGAAACAGCTGTAACTCAGTTCCAGTTCCCTCAGCCACAATCCATGGCCAGTCCTGCACACCTAGGGACCAACACACAGCCCCAGGGAAAACCTCTCACACATTCAGTGGGAGCCACACTCCTACATATACTTGACATCCTGCCCACCACATGCAGACCCAACTGCAACTTCCTGCCCTACAGATCAAAGTCCCGAGGGCAACACAGTCTGCTCAGGAACAAGACAGAATTGACAACTACCCAAGCCCCTAGTAACAGATCCACTAAAGGGAAGCATCAAAGCTGACCTAGAGGCAGCCTTGTAAGCCAGCTAGAACCCCTATTCTTTGCAAGTCCAGAGGATAATCCAATAAGCTGTGAACCCAGAAAGGAAAGATCTTTACCTGCTGAAATTGGTTTATGAAAATTGGATGACACATTTGCTCCTTCAAACGCACAGACACAAATGCAAGGCTATATTGTACCCACTTTCAATCCTTCTATTTTATCATAACATTGGAAGTCTTAGGCAAAAATTTGGGGGCAAAATTTTTTTTAAAGCCACCATATAGAAAAGAAAAAAAGTCACTATTTATAGATGACATGATCTTATAGACAGACAACCTAAAGAGTACAAAAAAACCTGTTTAAACTAAAAAATGCACCAAGTAAATGAGAATATTAAATTAACATACAAAAGTCACTTGTGTTCTCATACGCTAGCAACTATCCAATAAAAAAGAAAATAATCTCATTTATAGTAGCATCAAAATAATAAACGTTTTAGCAATCAATTTTACTGAAAAGGTGAAAGAGATTTACACTGCAAAATATAAGTTGGTGATGAAAGAAACTGAAGACACAAATAAATGTAAAGATTTCACAGGCTTATATATTAGCAGAATAAATACTGTTAAAGTGCCATATTGTCCAATGTCATCTAAAGATTCAATGGACTCACTATCAAAATTTCAATGGCATCTTTTCACAGTAATAAACAAAATCCTAAAATTTTTACGGAACTACAAAAGACTTTCAGTAGCCAACATAATACTGAGGAAGAAGAACAAAGCTGGAGGCCTCATACTTTTTGATTTCAAACTATATTTCAGAACTATAGTAATAAAAGCAGACCAGTACATGCATTAAAAAAAGACATAAAAACCAATGGAACAAAACAGAGAGCCCAGAAAAAAATCCATGCATGCAAAGTCAACTCATCTTTGACAGGGGCACAAAGAACACAAAGCGCAAAAACTATAATCTCACCAAAACTTCAATACTTGGTGCTAGAAAACCTGGATACTCACAAGAAAAAAATAAAATTAGACCATTTCTTATATACCATGCCCCAAAATTAATTCAAAATATAGACTTATATAAAGCATGAATCCTTAAAAATCATAAAAGAAAACATATGGAAAACCTCCTTGATGATGACCTTGACAATGAATGTTTTGGATACAGCACCAAACATACGACAACAAAAGTAAACATAAATAAGTTGGCCTACACTAAACTAAAAAAGCTTTTGTACAGCAAAGAAGACAATGAAATAAGAAAACATAAAGGATGGGAGAAAACGTTTGCAAGCCATATGTCTGAAGAGAGACAAAAACAGTAATAATGATAATAACCCAACTGAAAAATAGGAGAAAGTGTGAAAAGATCTTTTCCCAACAAAATCATATAAATGGCTGTAGGTATATGAAAAGATGCTCGGCATCACTAATAATTAGGCACTTAAAAATCAAAATCATGTTAAAATACCACTTCATACATGTTAGCATGGCTAATATCAGAAAGACTACATAACAAGCTTTGACAAGCATGTGAAGAAAAAGAAATCCTGTATACTGTTGGTGAGTTGTAAATTGGTGGAATCATTATGAAAACCTGCAGGGAGGTTCTATTAAAAATGAAAAACTGGAATTGCCATACAATCCAGCAATCCCACTTCTGTGTATATAACCAAAGGAAATAAAATTGGTATCTTTGACTGGATGTGGTGGCTCATGCCTACAATCCTAACACTCTGAGAGGCCAAGGCAGAAGGGTCGCTTGAGATCAGGAGTTTGAGAACAACCTGAGCAAGAGGAAGACCCCATCTCTACTAAAAAAAAAAAGAAAAATTAGCCGGACATGGTGGTATGTGCCTATAGTCCCAGCTACTAAGGAGGCTGAGGTGGGAGTATTACCTGAGGCAGGAGTTTGAGGTTGCTGTGAGCTAGGCTGATGCCATAGCACTCTAGTCTGAGCAACAGAGTTAGACTCTAAAAAAAAATCATTCAGTATCTTTAAGAAATATCTGTACCCCTATGTTCTTTGTAATATTATTCACAATTGACAAGATATGAAAACAAGCTATTTGTAAAATTCTAAATGGATAAAGAAAACATGATATATATACACAGTAGAATATTATTTAGCCACAAAAAATATTATTCAGCCATTTCATCAACATAGATGGTCCTGGAGGACATTATGCTAACTGAAATAAGCCAGGCACAGAAAGACAAATACTGCATGATCTCACTTATATAGAGAAGCCAAAAAGTTTGAAGTAGAGAATACAAATGTGGTTTCCAGGGCCCGTGGTGGGGAAAACAGATGTTAAAAGGGTGTAAACTTTTAGTTATATGATGAATACATTTTGGAGACTTAATGTATAGAACCATGACTATAGTTAATAATAATGTTTTGCATCCTAAAATTTGACAAGACAGTAGACCTTAAGTGTTCTCTATACTAAAAAAAAAAAAGGTGATTGTGAGGTGATAGGTGTATTCATGAACTTGATTTTATCAATCATTTAACACGGTACACAAATGTCAAATAACTACATTGTACACAATAATTATATATAACTTTATTTGTAAAAAAATGTTACACACACACGTGTATGTATGTATGTGTGTGTGTGTGTGTGTGTGTGTGTGTATGTATATGAATCAGACAATTCTGGTAAACTTCAAACTAAATAAGAGAAAACTATAAAATGACAGTTATTAAAAAATAAGGTAACGAGTGGGAGTTTAATACATGCTCAGCAATATTCTAAGCTTCCCAAAGACATACTATGTTTAAGAAATGCAGAAAAAAGATACCTTAAACTATATTAAAGTTGAGGAATTTGGACATATAGAGTTTAAATTATTTATCATAGTTCATACAAAAACAGAATTTTGAACTAAAATAACATCAGATTTCTTATCTTTAGAGAGTTCTGATAAATTACTGAATGTGAATTTCCTGTAAAATCACATTTAAAACCTCCATAGTGCAGGAAACCATAAAGCAGAATACATACCACATCTGTTTGTGTTGTCCCTGGGATACCTGAACCAAATAATAATATCACAATTTCACTAACACATTTGAGATATGATGCAAAAGGAAAATGAAAAAATTGTTTCACAGAGAGTTCCTCAAAAATACACAGATATTACCACGCCCTGAAAGGCAACAGAAGAGGACTCAGATCCTGCTGTCCCTTGTAAGCCATGAACAGAACTTTAGTTCTCAGTGTAACCTTCAAGGAAGATCACTGAGGGGGAATTAGTGCTTAGAGAATTTAAAAACAAAGAAAAGACATGCCCTTCTGTGAGACCAAGAGAAATAAGCCCAGGCTTCTTAGAAATCATTTTCATTGAAGCAGAGCCTCCCAAACCCCATTTTAAGGTCTGGTTTCCTTCTTGAATTTTGGGCCTCTCTCACCTGTGTCAGCTGCTTCATTCACTCCCACCTACCTGGGTATTTGGCTACTGTAATGTATTTCTTCGCCTTCCAAGGTTCATTTTCTTGCTCCAGACAGGTGATCAGGTCTGGTTTAGAGACAGCAAGAGCTATTTTATTAGAAAAAATTCACATGACTCTTACTGGGATTCTCCAATTACCAATCTAGTACTGTGCTCAGTAGAGAAAAGAGAACATATAAAAAATTCTACAAA